TGCGATTGCATGGATTTTCGCATGCGGTTACGCCAAAGAGCGATTTTTGCAGAAGAGCTCGCCCATGCGGTTGCACCAACCAACCGCATGAAAAGATCCTTCTAGCTCGCATGCAAAAACACTTTTTTAGTAGTGATTGTACGATTATTAACAAAAAGATAAATGTTAAAATTATCCCTAACCATAAATTAGCAAAATACTAATGCGTTTTTACAAAGCAACGGCTCACGCGATCAGAATCCTATAAATAGATAGCACCCTAGACTGTATGATTTTTTTTTTAAAATCAGATCAAATATATTGACCCGGCTTCTGGAGATAGCCTAAACACACAACACACACAGAGTCTTTACAAAAAGATACTCCCTCCGTCCCATAATATAGCAACCTATCCCATAATGTAGTAACCATAATAGGTTGCTACATTATAGGACGAAGGGAGTAAACTGGAAGCAAGCTAAACTGGCTGGGATTTTCAGCTTACAAACATTCGGCATAGCAGGAAAACAGAAACCCACAACAACACACACCACACACGATGGTCGATTGGGAGCATTCACAGAGTTGCAGGCAAAGTTCTAACTCTAAGTTGATTAAACTTCTCCAGAATCGCCTCATACCACCCTCCCAGCACTGCTTGCTCCTCATTTCCTAGCAGGACGCCCCATTTCGGCGCAAAAGACAAAGCTTCGTAAACAGTCTGCAAAGGAGAGGAAACCAAAGTATTCTCAGACACCCAATCATTCCTAATTATCCACAAAGCCCAACAGACACCCTAGCAGAAAAATCCAAAGCCTGTGTTCCTTTTTTTTTCTCCCATAACCTAACCCAATCCCAAAAATTAGAAGGATGAGTCTGAAGATTCAAAGCCTCTTTGATTACACACCAATCAAAAACTGCCAGAGGGAAAAAAAAAGAACATGACTGTTAGTTTCAATTTTGCCCCATAATTTACAGAATTTATCACCCCCTTTCCAAGTCCTCTTTACTAGTTGCTCTGCATAGGGTAACCTCCCCTTCCCAACCAGGAAAAGAAAATGTTTGATTTTGAGAGGGAGCTTGCATTTCTAGATTTCCCATAAATCCACATCTCTTATACCCCCAAAAGTCAAAATCCTGTACATAGACCTGGTAGAAAAAACTTTTATCTTACTATGGGGCCAAACAATTTGGTCTTCTCCTTCATCTAGACAAATCCCCTGAATAAGTTGCGCTCAGCTTCTCTCTGGGAATTTAGATTTCTTCTAAACTCTAGATCCCAATCTCCTCCATTGAACACTTCACTCACCAGAGCCCCTTGTTGATAGCTAATCTCAAAAAGATCAGGGAACCTAATTTTTAGTGGAATATCTCCACACCACACATCTTTCCAGAAAAAAACATGATCTCCCTTATGAACCTGTTTCTCCACAAGTCTTTCAACCCAAGTCTTACAATGGTGTAACTCTTTCTAAAACTGAGAGCCCCCTATGGAAGAACTACTGAGAGCCCCCAAGCATTGTTCAAATACTTATCTGGAGACCCATTTTCCAACTTGATGATCCATTTACTCAAAAGGCAGATATTCATAACCCTGGTGTCTAAGAACCCCATTCCACCATAATCTTTAGGTCTGCAGAGAGCTTCCCACTTGATTGATGAGGACACAACTAGCTCGGATATAACCATGATTACCTTATGTATTATTCCACTAAAGGTGCATATGTTCTATATTAGATTTACTTGTTATATAATTGAGCAAACGTTGCTACACAATGAGTTTTGTGTGTTTTCGTTTGCAGAGGTACTTGCTTGGGCGAAAGAAAAGAAACCAAGTCGACTTCGAGTGCAATTCGGAGTCCAGGACTAGTTTGCACTGAAACGGACACCCAGGTCGCATACGTGCTTGGATTGGGGCATTCTTTATATGGATGGAAAGCTAAGAAGATAACCTTTCTAATGGTTTTGGTCACACGTCCAAATTCTTTCCGAGTCAACGGTAATCGACCGAACAAGTTGACGTCTAGAATCTGTCATGGTGCTGCATCATCGTATTTGGGTCTTTGGGCCATGTATCGTGTTAGAGGCCATTAGTGCTCGTCAAGGGTTGGTTGCACGACCCTAAACTCTATATATCATTACTCGTCATCATCTTTATGGTTTGGGTTTTGCTTAGATTATTCTGTCGAGAACAGTTTCGGCGCTAGATCGGTTTGTAAGACCCCAACTTGTGAGCTTAATCATTCATCTGCAATTTTGGTTGTATTCTACCTTGTTCTTGTTTGTTTTCTTTGATTCGCAAACAGGGATTAGCCTTCTCGGCGAGGTCATCCGTGTTTCGACACGGGTGATAACCAGAGGAGACGTGGTGCTGCGATTGCGGGGCTCAAGAGCGTGTTCGTTCAAGAAGCCGGATCGATTTGTATCGCGACTCCGCCCAAATCGTTGGTTATTAGAACCTTTTGGATGATCGGGAACCCTAGTCCACATCATTGATCATATGATACTTGTTTTTTTCACTCAGGCCTTGCCAGTAAAAATTGCTCCTAGCAGTTCCCATTTTGTGATGAAAACCCTTAGGTAACCAGTAGAAACACATGGTATACATTGGTATACTAGACAAGTAAGAGTTGATCTTAATCCCCCTTCCCCCATAGGTGAGATAACCACTTTTCCAAGATTGTAACCTTTTTTTCCACTTTCTGAGTGACAAGCAAAATCCCTCAAACCAAGTTTTCCTGCATGCATAGGCAGACCTAGGTAAGTGACAGGAAGCTTGTGCACTTTACAATTCAACATATCAGCAAATTTCAGCTCTTCCCCTTTATTCATACCAAAACCATACATTTCACTCTTCTGATAATTAATTTTCATCCCCGACATTTATTCAAAGCAGAATAGAAGGAATTTAAGCACTAACACATTGTGATCCCCAGCCTTCACAAATAAGATGGTGTCATCAGCGTATTGAAGGTGAGTAATCCCCCTTCCACCAAATTAGGAACCAAACCATGCGTTACGACAGAAAAAGGCTAATAAAGTGACGTTGATTCTGATGCTACCTTTTTCACCTTCTTTCTTTTCCCTCGAATGGCCTGGTCAGAAAGTAGTACAATCTATTATTAGTTCATAGGAACAAATTGAACTTAATTAGATAATATAGGCTTTGCTTAGATTCAAAAAATTTTAGCCAAAAATATCATATCAAATGTTGGACACATGCATGGAGCATTAAATGTGGACAAAATCAATTGCACAGTTTGCATTTAAATTGCGAGACGAATCTTTTGAGTCTAATTATACCATGATTTGACAATGTGTTGCTACAGTAAACATTGGCTAAAGATGGATTAATTAGGCTTAATAAATTCGTCTCGCAGTTTACATGTGGAATCTGTAATTTGTTTTGTTATTAGTCTGCATTTAATACTTCAAATGTGTGTCCGTATACTTTAAAAACTTTACACCCAAAGAACTAAACACACCCATAGTAAGATTTTGAACCAAAAAGTGTAACCATAATATACTCTTTAAAATACTCAGAAATCTCATTGCCGATGTACTCAGATTTTGATAGATAAGTCGTTACCTGTGATGGGCCATGTCCCTTAAGTCTCATCTGAAACTTAGCCCGTTAGAGATGAGGTTATCCATGATGAAAAACTTCGACTCGTTATCGATGGGCTGTCACATATGTGATGACCCACCTAAACCTGGAGGGCTGTGCAGTAACGCGTCTCTTCCTCTCCCCAGCGCCCCAGATCTAGCCCTGCCGCTGCCAGAGCTGACCGGCGTTTGTGCGGCGGCTAGGACGGCGGTGGTGGGGAGGTGGGAGGCGGAGGTGCGGCGGTGGCGGCCTGAGGCAGCCGGGCCCGTGCCTAGCCGTGTGAGTTGGGGACGGCTGGAGGTGGTCGGAAGGGCGGAGGGGAGCGGCAAGACGTCGGCGAGGGAGGCCCTCGGGGGCGGCGGTGCTCGGCGGTGCCCCAGTGGTGGCGGTGGCCCTAGGGGCGGCGGCTGCCCAAGACGGCGGGGGCTCCCGGCGGCGCCGGCCACCCAGGACGGCAGGGGCTCCAGGCAGCGCTAGAGGCCTAGGATGGTGGCGGCTCCTGCCGGTGCCAACGGCCCTAGAGGCTGCGGTGGTTCAAGACGGCGGCGGCTCCCGTCGACGCCAGCGGCCGGCGGCGACTCCCGTCGGCGCCAGCGGCCCTAGGGGCTGCGACGGAGGACGGCGGCGGCTCCCGTTGGCGCTGGGGGCCGATCTTGTCGGTTCGTGTATGGTTGGCTAGTTCCGGCTAAACAACGAATGACGATGGTTGAAAATGGGCTAACTGGTGGCGCGTGACGTCAGCTTACCTAAAATGGATAAAGATGGCACCAATGGAGGTTTGCATCGACGGCGCACTAGGGGCGGCGACGACTAGACGACTTCCACTCGCCAAATCTAGCCGTTTCGGGAGAATATGGGGTGACGTAGAGAAGCATGGATGTGCCGAGGTTGTTTGGTTTTCTTTTCTTTTTTTGGTTATGTGTTCTCCTCCTTGTTGAGATATGAGTCGAAGTACTCGTGTATTTTTTGGCTGTGTATATCCTTCGTGGATATAGAGGCCAGATTATTGAAAATCCATTATCTAAAAAAACATATGTGATGACCTGATGTAGTGAGGATATGTGGGAATTTGTGACCGGAACAAAATGAATGTTTACATGAATAGAGAGTAAGAAAATAAGCAAGAAGTCTAACCCCTTGACTTTGTTTGTTTCCTGTGATGCTATCGAAGGGCTCCTTTTATCTTTCCTATATTTTTTTTAAGGATTAGAAAAACGTGCCACTTAATTCCTGTATCTTTTTTCTATTATGCGTTTCAAAGAGTCCTTAATACGCTAAGAGATGTGTTGAACCTTCTTGAGACAGGCAAACAAGTCCGCACCTTTTCGTAGGATGTTATGTATATGAATCTCATTCGTGCTACTTATTTAGCATATTGTTTCTGGATTATAGTATACTTGAGGAATTACTTAGCTTGATCGAAAAGGGATGGCTCAATCCATCATTTTATTATTATTATATTCATGTACATTTCTCAAAGAAAGATAAAGCAACTCATCAACTGCCAGAATAAGCAAGTAGATCAGATTTTATACAGAAAATCAGCAAGCACAAAATACACTACTCCATGTTACAGTTTGCTTCACTAAGCGAAATACCATCACTTCACAGTATGATACAGTTACTTCTCAAACTACTTGGGTGATCAGCCTAAGCACTTCACAGTATGATACAGTTACTTCTCAAACTACTTGGGTGATCAGCCTAAGGTCTTGTAAATGATACCCTAGCATCTTCCTCAACCTCTAGTTCAGCTTCATGCCATTCTTCCACGTATCCTCTAATCCGCTCATTTCGGAGCACGGTAGAAGAGACTGGCTGGCACGTTACTGGGCAGATGTGTCCATGCTTATCAAACCAAGCCCGTACGCAGTGACGGTCCATAGTCTACAAATATTACATACACATGCCATTCATTCACTCTATCCACAAAAATTGCAAATAGAAAAGGAACAAAGAGGGGGAAAAGCCCATTAATTACCTTTCCTGTTGCAATCATAACAGGGTCAACCATAACATTGCCGCACAAGGGGCAAACAAGGTTTTGCGGGATCTCGAAACCTTCCAGCTTGCCCTTGGCCTTTCGATCCTCAGTGAACAAACTAGAGCAGATAAGATTTGGCTTTCGACCATGCTTATGAGCTGCAACTAGGATCATCTTGTAATGGGTTCGGGATGATATTTTCTCTGAATTCTGCAGGGGCCTCAACTTGCGCACAAGCCTAATATCATCCCACACCTTCCTCTAAAATCAAATGCACATAACCAAAGATAAGGACATTATAAAACCAAGAGCAATTAGTTGAAGCCATATTTCTTTACCGATTCAATTGATTGGTCAGCGTCTCCAAGGATTTCAGCAAATAAGGGGTACCAAATTTCCTGTACATTTTATTCAAGATAAATTGTCGGTAAGACACCCAAATTAAACCTAAATGAAATATTTATATAATAGTTACTTACATCATTTTTCAGTGACCACATAAGTGTGAATTCATTACATGCCACATACGGTGGTCCAAACCTGGGTCTTTCTACAACAAGAAGTCCATCTATTTCCTACAAGTATTGGTGACAGCCTTGTAGTTAGATTGGCAAGAAGTAAACACAAAAAAAGGCACACTTATGGGTATTGTGGAAGCATTTACTGTAGAAACAGAAAGTCGAATTATCCCTAACATGACTAATGATTTCGACTCAACATTAGAGTGCAGCATAATTTGAACTAAGATATCTGTGCTCAATTACACTAAATCATCGAAGATTTCACAGGAACAAATAGGAACACGAAAGCTAATATCGCAGTTCAACATTTCCAACACGCAAATTGGCACCTAAGCAGGGATGCAAGATTTTCCATGGTTTCTCACAAGAACAGCATCCTGAGAACAAATTTTGGCGCAAGAATGCTCAGCCAGCCAAGAATGGCAAATAAACTTCTGCTTACCTCTTTGTTGATACAGCCAAGAGCGCTGGTCCGGTGTGACTTGTTTATTGTGGAAACGGGCGTCACCTGCTCCTTCCGAAGTCTGGGATCATCCCAAGGTAGCTTCTTGGACATGACCTACTCAGAGAAACCAAGAAACGCTCAAGAACAAGCTCCCAAAACTCCAAGATTCCAAAACATGCGATGGCGCCAGTGATGCAATCCCAATCCCCAAGTACATCTGGATGATTCAGTTACAATGAAAGCAAAATCACCACATTAAATTCCCCACATTTTTACAGTTTGATTAAAATGAACCACATTAAACAGCAAAAATCAGATTAACGAAAGTGTCAAGCAATTTTGACAGAAAACTAGAAAGCCGTTCCTGTATCAAAGTACGTCTAGATGAACCAATCGAACATCACCCAATAAATTCCCCACATTTTTACAGTTTGATTAAAATGAACCACATTAAACAGCAAAATCAGAATAACAAAAGCAGGAGCAAATAAGTCTAAAATAATTTTGACAGAAAACAAGAAAGCAGTTCCCTGAATCAAAGTTCCACAGAACATAGCCGAATTGCCCCCCTAACAATTGCCTAGTTGCCACATCATTCCAACCAACCAATATTTCTTCGCTGAAGCACAACTGAATGAAACAGGTGGGTAAATAGAAATCAAGAAAGCAAAAAGATCCTAAGTTCCACATTCCTACACAAGAACAGCATCTAAGTGACAGGATTGAACCTATGAAATCGATGATGCAATATGATCCCAAGAATTTTCACAAGAAGGAGATGATCCAAATCCAAAATTCCCCAACACAGAAGATGACACAAGAATGCCCAGCCCCGGCCAGACCAGTCAAGAATGACAAGCAAAACTTTCTCCTCACCTCCTCCTTGGCGTGGCCATGATACGCAACACGAACGCTCCTCCTCCTGAGGAAATCAGATTTCCTCTCCTCGTCCCTCTCCGCCTTCAGGGAAACCAAGAAATGCTCAAGAACAAACCCCACCAAAACCCCCCCAAGAAAACCTCCAAGGTGACAAACAAGAACGCCATGACGGCGAAAAACGGAAAGATCGGAGCCAGCCAACCATCACTTGCTCCCGATCATCAGAGGCTCCCGATACCTTCTCCTTCTTCTTCCCCTTCTGGCCGACCGCCGCAGCGGCGGGGCTCCATCCGTCGGCCCCGCGGCCTCCTCCGTCTCCGGGCTGCTGGGGGAGGCGGCTCCCGACGGACGAGGGAGGCGGGGAGACATCGGCGGCGGCCTCGGGCGGCGCGGCGATCGAGGTGGGGGCGGCGCTGGAGATGGAGTCCTCCTGGGCGAGATGGGGCTCGTGCTGCCCATGTACATTGGCTTGTGCGGGGCCGGACGCGGGCGACATCGAAGCGGGTAGAGCGGCAAGGGCTAAATTGCTAATTCCGATGATTCGAGGGGGCGGAGGCGAAATGTTTGGAGGGTTTCGTTGTTAATTCCAGGAATTGCAGGATGCTATTTATAAAGGTAACATTAGTGTACGCAGTTGGCAGTTTGCTACGGAGTAGATTCGAGAAGATGGGGTTATTTTTGCAGTTTAGTCCTTCCCTTTTTCTTCAACTAAAGTAATTTAATCCGATGTGCCCGTAACTCTTCTTTTTTTTCTCACATTTACTGGTTTTTGAAACTGATAAAGGTGGATATTAAGTTGAACACGTAAAATTAGAAAGCTATTAGCACATAATTAATTATGTTTTTATTATTACAAACTTAAAGGAAATTGTTATATTTGATATTTAAAGAAATTTATATGTACAAAGTTTTCGAACAGAACACACCGTTTACTTATTTGAAAAACGTGCTAACAGAACCAAAGTAAAATCTGAATCTTAAAGAACAGTGTTAAGCTGGCCATAGTGAATTATCTTCTTTTCAAAATATTTTTTTAAGGCAACCTCGACAGCAAAGATATGTGTTCTTCCTCAAGTTTTTCCAACTCAACTATCTCATTTTCTGCGCGCACGCTTTTCAAACTGCTAAACGGTATGTTTTTTAAAAAAATTTATGATACTCGTTATTGCAGGATTATAACGAGTATCATAACGACTATCAGTTTCTACAAGAGGCATGTTATCTATAATATTATATTATAGAGATCGACAAGTATGTGTTAAATTATCTTCCTCACATTATTTTTTCATTATTTAAACTTTCATCATTTCAATAATATTTAACATATACTCATCCATTAATCCGCAGCAAAGCGCGGGGTATTACTGTTGACGTTTGATGTCGCGATTCCGGTATTTGCATAGTATGAGGATCGTTGGTACTATAATATATGCAAGATTGTAGTAAAAGAGACAGAGACGAGGATTTTTATACAGGTTCGGGCCCCTGAATTGTTAGGTAATAACTCTACATCCTGTTGGCCGAAACCGGTGTTGCTTTTTATTCATCTGGATCACACAAGTACAATTAATATTTGGGGTAGCCTATCTAACTGTTGTCGACATGGCGGTCTGAAGGTCTGACTCCTACTCGACAACAGAGTAGCCTTCTTCCTCGAATCCGCATCCGGCGAGATCAGAGATAGCGTTATATCTCTCCTGACGGTATCCGTAGGCACCGTAGGGGACTAGCCATGCCTATCTCTGAAGTCGATATCTGGTATCTTGTCTTGGCGTATGTTGGCTTGTACATTGATCTTCTATTGTTCCGTGTCCCCTCTCCTCCTAGGGGCCTTGTATTTATACCCATAGGTATCCCCTTGTCCAACTAGAACTAGGGAAACCAATATGGATACAATCCGAGTAGTCCTTGTCGTTTCCATGTAGAACTCTAGTCATCCTTCCTTATGCGGAACTCCTTCTATATCCGAAGGTTGTTTTCGTATAAGACATGGTATGTGGTGGGTCCTGCCGAGATTTAGTCAACTACTACTAGGTATATGGTATCCATAACCCTGACAATTACCTAGCTAATATTGGTTGCAACACCAACAATTATTACATAAAACATTGAGCCCTACTGATTGAAACATAAAAAAAAATCATAAAATCAAAACTTAAAATGAGAAATAGAGTCATGTTCTACATCGAATTTCAACAGACGGGAAAATAGGGATATATTAATTACTTGCACTATGTTTGTTACTTTTTTTCAAATAAGGTTGATTCTTAAATGATTGTCACTATGTTTTTATACTAAGATAATTTTTGTCAACGTGTTTGAAACTGATGAAAATAAAGATTAAGTTGGCGTATGTAATAAAAAATATTAATACATCATTAATTAAGTTTTAATATTACAAACTGAATAAATGAATATGTTTGATATTTTAAAATAAGTTTTATATAGAAATTAAGTTTTCATACGAAATGTATTATTTAATAGTTTGATAAGTGTGCTAATTAAAACCGAGCTAAAAACTAAATCTTAATTAGAAAAGAACGTGGCGTAAACAAAGATGATCCACACTTGGAATGCCATGTGGTGTTGACCAACTTCAGTACGTGCAAAACTATATGTATGGATGGGTTACATCCCTACCACAGGAACCGTACATATACGATTTATTTTGAGGACGTAAGGATCAGGATACGAGGATGTAAATAAAGGTGTGTGTAGCCACATGAAGTGAGATGGATTTTTAATCGATTTTGCTATATCTCACTCGAAAGATTTTTTCTTATCTCTCACTCGATTTTCTCACTCAAATTTACAGTGCATTTTCTTGTAAGTTACAGTGTAATTTATGAAACTTACACTGTAACTTTTGTAAGTTACACTGTAATTTTTGAATCTTCACATGTAAATTTTAAATTTTGTATTGGATTTGGTCTTTTTCTTGAGGATATGATAATTTAATGTTCATTATGGTGTTTCTTAATTGCTTTTTGCTTTTTATTATATCTATCGGATTTTAATACAAAGATTAAAAATCTGTGTGATACGATTATAAAAATCTTTCGAAAGATGTATAGGTACTCCCATTTTTAATAAGGTTCAGACCCCTGAGATAGGTAATTGTTGGCTAGTGTTGCCTATATATCAATCTCTCATGAATACATGGGTACAAATTAGTTACCCAAAACGCCACCGATTGAATCATTGACAACCCGATAGACATGTCTTTCGTAGTCTTCAATGATAACCATGAAAGCGAGAGACATCGACAAAGAGATGAAAAAAACAGAAAAGAGCCTAGCTAGAAAATGTTAACTCCATAGACATGCTGAAAGACAAACCCTAAAAGGCTAAAATATTGTTATTAAGCCGGCCGGAGTGAATTATCTTCTTTCAAAATACTGTTTTTCTAGCCAGCCTCGGTAGCACAGATAACTTAAGGGGACTAGCTGGGCGCAGGAGGGAATTAATGAGCGGGCAATAATAGTGAATTATCTGCCGACCTCTCTCGATCAGGTGTCGTTCGATCATGGCTAATCCAACTACCTGAGATATTCATATGGTTATAGCCAAACTTTTGCAAGCAGCTCATCTCCAATTCTACTTCACTTATACAAGACATGGAGGGGAGAACGGGAGAATGATATGCAACATGAACAAGAAAAATCTCGAAGGACCTATACATCCGATGATTCAACGAGTGCCATAGTTAATATTGGTTGATGAAACATTGAGCCCTAATAATTGAAATAGAGAAAATCATAAAATCAAAACTTAAAATGTGCAATAGAGTCATATTCTATTGAAAACATTCGCTTCTTGAATATGAAACATCGAATTTCAATGGATGGAAACCTAGGGAATATATAATTACTTGTACTGTGTAGTTTGTTTTTTCAAATAAGGTCTATTCTTAGACGATTATTACCATCTTCTTATAATAAGACAAATTTTGTCAACACACAACAAAGATGATCCACACTTGGAATGCCATGTGGTGTTGACCAACTTCGACACGCGCAAAAATATAGGAAAAAGTACGAATTACCCCCTCGAACTATCGCGGTCGACCGAATTACCCCCTAAACCATAGAACCGGACATTCTTCACCCCCAACTATGCAAACCATATGAATTACCCCCCTCGACCTAATCCAGAGTGGTTTTATCCTACGTGGCTGTGTGATGATATTTTGTACATTTTTTTTAATAAAAAAAGAAATGAGGTGTGTTAAAATATTGATCCCAGAAACGATGGTAGTAATAAAATTGATGATTAATTATCACTAATGGTGCAACCTTGACTACATGGGCACATGCACCTGTATGCACGTCTGAATATTATATGACACTTGTATAGTACTGGTTGCCTATGCTCCAGCCCAGCCGGTGTACGTGATGTACATCATGTACGCATACCCCTCACAAATGCCATATTCCAAATATAAAAGCTTGTATAAATATATGGAAGGGATCATTGATTATCTTTTATAAAATGGAAGATTAGCTCTAGATGATCGATCAATCCTACAGCTAGCCCGTTAATGGAAATAATTGTGAATTGTATCTCATCTGAATGGAAGCGTGTTGCCACAGTGTCATCATGAAATGGCAAGGTAATCACATAATAATATTTCCTAGATGATTCGAATGGAAAAGAAACAGATATAGCAACAAGTACATGGAAATACTACTCTCCGTATCACCATAGAATGGAAGCTTGAATCATCATATCACAATAAAATGGAATTATCATAATCATGATATTTGCTAAATGGAAATTTGGCTTATCGATGGAAGCAACTGGCTGGCCGTGCAGATGCCAATCCATGTATGAGCTAGCCTGTGCACCGACTTATCATCCCTACAAAAGTAGGGGTGAAAACGGTTCGGAATTTTTCCGGATTCCGGACCTGTTTTCGAAAACGGAATCAGCCGGTCGGAATTTTTTCGGAATTTCGCGGAAACGGAATCGAAAACGGAAATATTTTTTCGGAAACGGAATCGAATATGATAATATCAGTTTCCGTCGGAACTCGGAATCGGTCGGAAAAATTCCAGAAAGTTTGTCGGAATTTCCGAAGTTAAAAAGGCCCATCCAAATAGTCCATAATTCCTCCCCAAGTTCAAACAACATTTTTAAATACTAAATGATTTCAAATGAAAAAGTCATCAACAACAAAGTTGTATAACTCATCAATATCTACAACTTTTGTTTTGATCATTTTGCTATATGACTTTGTTTCTATAATTTGAATTTGAATTTCAAATTATAACAACTTCAGACAATATTTTCAAGTACTAAATGATTTCAACTGAAAAAGTCATCAATAACAAAGTGGTATAACTCATCAAGATCTATAACTTTTATTTGGGTCATTTCTTCATCCGATAAAGTGATTTATAAGATCGTTCACAAAATGTACATATCTATTATATAGTTTATAGACTATAGTAGATATATGTAAAATTTGTGAATAATATTACTATCACTTTATCGGATGAAGAAATGACC